ACTCTCGCTCGCTCGCTCGCTGTGAGTGTGTGAATGTGCGTGTGTATATTTCTCTCTCTCTCTCGGTCTGTGTGTGTGTGTGTGTGTGTGTGTGTGTGTGTGTGTGTGTGTGTGTGTGTGTGTCTTTGTATTTTGACTGGTAAAGGCAGGTGCGTCTGTTTGGAATGGCTTTCGCCATGCCCATTCAGTGGACAGGAGAATGACCTTCGTGTCTCATTTTGGGTTGACGCTTTAGTGATTGTCGTCATGACTCTCATTCGGTTTGGTTACGTGCATCATTGCCGTCCTGGACACGAGTCGGAACTGTTGCCATTACTTGAAGTGTCTGATATGTCGATCCCATTGATGACGGATCGAATGCCTGGACACGAGTCGAACCATGTGGGAAACGATCGGCTCTATTTGCCATGAACTTGTGTTCGTTTGTGCTAGAAATAGCTCTGAAAGCAGCCGAAACACTGCTTGAATGGATGAATGGTTAATCTGTTGATACGTGTATTAATTATGCAATTTATAGGTCTGCCTTGGCTATATTGCTCAATGACCTAGGCGTTTGTATGCTTTTCAATTTTATTGAGTTGAACCGTGCGCCATTGACTGATTGTTGTCTTCTTGCTTTAATCAAGATGAGTCACGAGTGACAAATTTGCCCCCTATAACTACGGTATGCCTTTTGTCGACTGATGCTTGGTCTGTACACTCATTGCTGTAGTTCCGTCGCTGCTTTACCCGAAAGGATTACAGGATGGTGCTTGAAATGTATGAATGAACGAGTCAGACTCGTGAGTTTGCCTCTTTGAACTGATTGTCATGCTGTGTTTTGATTGCATTGCGTCCCCTGCATTGCAGTGGGTATCTCGTCGCATCCTCTCTTTTCTGTTCTGGCAGGTGGGACGAAGAGTGACGACGAAGATGAGGACGGCAATGAAGCTCGTCACCCTCACCGTGGCATTGACTTTCCTCATGAGCGCCAGCCCTCGCGCGTCCATGGCGAAGGCAGCCATCATGAACGCTCCCCCTAGCGCGGGTGCCCCTAGCACGGCTGCCGCTAGCGGGGCTGCCCCTAGTGCGGCGATGGCGAAGACAGGCAAGGACGCGAAAGTGTTCGAGATTCTTAAGAACGAGACGCAGTTTTCCATGTTCTACAAGGCGCTGGTGGATACCACGGAAATCTGGAACRTGGAGGGGCGCACGGTGCTCGTCGGCGAGCAATTGATCCTGTTCGCKCCCACGAACGCGGCCTTCAGCACTGCGCTCAGCGAGGAGGTGATGACGTGTCTGCAAAAGGAGCCCGGTCAGGCGACCCTCGCGAGTTTCTTGAAGTACCTTCAAGTTGTCGTTCCCAGCAATGTCACCGTCCCGCAGGTGAAAACTCCGAAACAGTTGCTCAAGAGGACTAAGGACGGCTTTCTGTGGACGGTTGGGGGCAAGGGCATCGCCGTCACCGAGGACGTGGATGGGTCGATTAGGCTGACAAGCGACGACGGACTGGACAGCGTGACAGTCCAGGAAGCCAGACCCACAGACCCCACAGTGACGCTCATTCCGCTCGAGGAAGCCGTCATCGTCGACGAGGATGTGGGTAACACGATCTTGAGCATGTGTTTTGGCGAAGAGCCGTCCCAGTCGTCCATCGCAGCACCCTCCAGCGGCTCCCTCCCTGCGTCGCAACTGTCTTCCGAAGACTCGGGCGCTGCCTCCTCAAAGGAATCTGCGACGCATGCTGATTCCTTCAGAAGGCTGTGGGAGTTTCTCTTCTAAGGACATTCTCATTTTCTGGACAAGTTCAGTTCGTCGAGCTACAAGTATGGCTTGCATTTCGTTATCCTCATTTAGAATCTATTTCATTCGACATTTCTTGACGAGAAATAAAGGCATACATATACATATATGTATTCGTTGGAGATAGAATATATATAAATATATATGCATGCACTGAGACACGTTTTTTGACAAATTCGCAAGGCTTTTGGTCTCCACAGCAAGTGGAGCCGACATTTCAGGTTATAACCCGAACTTGTTTCGGATGGTCATCTCATCTCTCCCTGGTGTCTTCTGTTAGTGCACGCGTCGCTCAGTACCGGACTGAGAATCCAATGAGGAGTTGATGATAGCGTGAGGTGAAATAATAAATTATGTGCGCCCTTTTGCAGGGTGCTCACTTAGATAGGATTCAATTGTCGGCCGTAGGAAAAGACTCCTGAATCATTCGTCCATTTAGGCGGGACAGAGGCACGTGATGCATGGTGAGCAGCAGAGAAAATGGTGTCCTCAGTATTGCTTGCGTCTTTGACACCAAATCTTCCAGCAACGATAGTATGGTGCCCTCCCACTAACTRAAGGGGGGGGCTGAGGTTTTCTGTGGGCCGTGGGCCGTCCTCTACTCGTTGTCGCCCGCCGTGTTTTAATCCGCTAGACCAGTTGCGGAATAAAGATTTGTTGCGCCTTTGATGCTTAGTCAGCSMGGGGAAGGCACACAAAGAAATGGGGAGGAGGTRGAAAGGGTGAGGGAMRGCGACAGGGACTGRCGTCAGAGCGGGGTTGGAGAGGGGTTCAGGTGAATCCTTKGGCGAATAAGGAGCTCATATTCTCTTGATGGCAATTACAATTTGCGAAGATAACACTGGGAAAGGATATGTGACGATTCTCTTGTGATAATCAACAGATTATCTCTTTCGGAGGTCTGTTTMGTTCATRAAGTTTCCCTCGACTGTTTCCAGTRTCTGTGTTCGCTCTTCACAGGCTTTGTTTCTTTCTGTTTTTGTTGCACCCAATACTTGAACAAAGCAAACAACGCGATTCCTCTACTCTTTCTCGTCGGAGCTCCGCCGCCATTTTCTTTGTTTTCTTCTTTGATCCAGAATGAATGCACCTTGTCTTTTTTACCCTTTCTCTTCCTAGCGCCTGTTTTCGCACGAATTACCTGCTCACAATTGCGAAACAAAAGAAGACGTAGAAGGAAAAGAAGAATAACTTGCACTGCCTGTCATTTCTGCGTCTCGTCTATCGCCTTGTGTCTGCTTCTTCTTCTTCGTCGTCGTCGTCGTCGTTGTCGACTTCCTGTTGAACGCACACGCATAGAGCGATGTCTTTCACTTATGTCGGCGGCCAACTACAGTCATATACCTGCTGGAAAATGCCGAGAGTACGTTTTTCACTGTTTTCTCTTTCGTTTTGCGGTTCTGTTTGCTTGCCTGAGAACTTAGAGTGACCGTTCATTTATCGAAACAGCTGAACAATCTCAACACTGCACATGGACCGTTCAGTGTCTTTCTGTTTTCTTTCGAGCACTCAGATAGCCTACGTTTCTTTGCTGCTGTTCATGCGGCATTGTTTGCCCTCTCCACTGCAACGCGCGAGTGCACACCGTCATCGTTGCCCCTTGCCGATGCTATGAGACCGGAATTACCGCCGAATAGCTGCTTTTGCCAAAGTGTCACTTGATGGCATTTCTACCAGGTGCTGCTCCCCAGAGTCCCCACTATCAGATCGGAGCCCTTCCCTCTGTAACAACTAAATCTCGATAAAGAGAAAGAAGTGAAAAAAAATAAAAATAAAAATTAGAAACTTGAAGACAATTACAGCTCCCGCTGTATAGCGTGCGGTACCTGGTCGCCTGGGAATCCATGGTCCCTAATGTCTGATGGCGTTTATTGCATCCCATGAGGGGCATGACTATCATACCATCTTAGGACTGTCGCAGTTCCTGATCCAGGGGACCATTCCTGTTCCGTACTAAATAGACTCGATGTCACTGACCAGCTGATTTTGCAGGGCGCTTCTTCTAGGAAAAGCAATACCTTCGCCCTCTGCAGGACTTTATTTCTTTCACTCACGGCACATCTTTTACTCACTTGCGCGCGTCTTCGACCATCATGCAAGGTTGAAATACACCCCACAGTAGTCGGTCCGCTGCAAGGCAGCCTTCCCATCGCAAGAGATCAGGGAGACACAGGAACAACTCTTCCTCTCATGCCCAAGGTCGGTGATGCCGCTGTGGAGATGCTGGGACAGAATATGTAGATGGTGAGGCGCACAAAGTGGCCTTGGAACTGGTCAGACTACTAGATTAAATTTTACACTCATACAAATTGTTAGATGACKCGGRAAAAAAGGRRAAAAAAAAAAAATCAATGAATTCTCTTACGAATGGGCYGGAATGGCTGAATAACCCAGGGTCCTAAGAGAGAGCAGAAGCAGATGGGGATGCCTCTATGSCGTGGGGGATCCAAYGGAAGTACTGTGACTGGACGAAGGTTGATCAATCATTTGCAKCGAGGCCCGCARCAGAATTCCCAGACCCCTTCCCCCAGSCAGAWAACAACGTTGTGGATCTGGCTTGGTAGGGGAAGCAGGGTTGAGCAAGGAGCTTTACAGCAGGAGAGCGCCGGTGTGGATGGTACTGACAAAAAACATCCTGTTCTAGACAAACTAAACCGCCTGCCACAGAGTTTATGGACCCATCTCCCTCCACTGACAACAGGTAGGTGAGATTTCGTGGTACGGGGGGGCAGAGGKACCTGGCTAGAGGACTGCACGAAGACAGYTGGCGGCTACACCTCGGAGCCTAGGCCAAAGACGCAACCTTCCTCCATACCGGGCTGAGCTGGTCTGCATAGCTGAAAAATCAGCATTCTGGTTACAACGTCCATTTATCCCCAATCCACTCTGTTCTGTTCGCTCTACTACTTTGTTTGGGCATGTGAACTGTCCCTCCACAGCAGTATGCCATCCCATTTGGAGAAATGCTCTCACAGCCACCTTGATAGACATGCTGCAGGGAGGGCTTTGATAGACGTAAAGAAATCTTGTAAGGCTGCTAAGATCTCCTTGCACTCATCAGATGACGGGAACAGGTGGTCCGCACTAGTTTTACTAGCACTGGTAAGAGAGAGCGATCTACACTGCTATTAGAAGATGTGTTCGAGATAGCCAGACAGGAAGATAGGACAGGGATAGACAGACAAGGGCAGGGAGGGGCAGGGAGAACAGGGAGCATGAGACAAAAAAACAGGGAGGAGGCAAATAGACAGGAATGGACAGGTGGGAGAACACATCCCATTGGCAATATGTATGTGATGTGAGCCTGATGCCCCGTGCAGTGTTCCATGCCTGTGGGAGGGGGASGAGGGCCGATCAGAGTATGGGGAATGRCCGAGAATTTTGGCCAAYGGGGGGTGAAATCCYAGTGYGAAACAACARCGATTTCTTCAAAACGGGCATTTTATAATTTTTTAACGAAATTGAAATTGCCATTTTCACTGTGATTATGGGTGCAAAAATGATTGGAAATTCGAGGTTTGGGATATGGGCACATACGTAGGGCTACGTGACCGCCTAGGCCGCGGATCCTGCGACCTCGGACGCCGGCCGCGGCCGCAAGCCGAGTTTACGCGCGGCCTCGCAAGGGCCAGGCGGGGGAGCGCGCAGAAAAATTGTGCGCGTGCGCGCGCCCCGCCTGCGCACGTAGGGCACTACCACCCCGTACAAAAAAGAAAAAAAAATTGAAAATTGGGGGGGGGTGGGGGGGGTGGGGGGTGTAGTTTGGGTGAGTAACAAAAGCCATTTTAAAATTTGAAAAAAAAAAACATGGATTCATTGACTGTTTTTTTATTGATTGATTGATTGATTGTTTGATTGATTGATTGATTGATTGGTTGGGGAGGGGTCCTCCCTCCCCTCCCCCCGGCACACACGCGCACACACACACACTCATGTATGCACACACACACACAGTCAGGGGAACACATGTACACACACACACACACACACACACTTAATAAAAATAAAAATATAATAATAAATAAAAACTTGAAAATTAAAAAATAATATTAGTTAAAAAAAATAATACTAAATAAATAGAATAATAAATAATAAAATAATATTATAATATAATAATAACAATAATCTTGTATTGCCTGTGCGGATGGTCCCAGCAAAAAAAAAAAAAAAAAAAAAAAAAAATCCCAAAATATCCAAAAAAAAACTATGTTATGCAAAAAAATAAACAGAACAACTTTTTTTTTTTTTTTTTTTTTAACAACACTTATCATTATATGCCGGGAAACAGGCCCAACGTCCCTCACAAAGGTGCCGCGGTTCTCGAGCTGAGCAACGCTCTTCAGCCAAGCAGAGCCCGGACCACGGTAATGCAAGTCAACAAAAGCAAGAAATCCAACTCACCATATACCCTACCCAATCCAAAACCCTATCTAGTCTAGGAAGAGGTAACAAGTCTCTCGATAGCTAACCTAACCCCTAATTACTATCGCAAGCGAAACCTTAACAATTCTCTCAGCACCGTAATCAGTATCACTAGCGAAGCCCTAATTAAACAATTCAACAAAGAAACAAAAGCCAATGAAAAACCTACCATAAATCGCAATGGAGGAAATAAATGAAAAAGAACGCGGTCGACAAAAACGAAAACCAACAGAAACCTAACCAGAATCACAACGGAGGTAATAAACGGAAAAAGCCGTAAAAGAAACCACAATTGAAGACAACAAGGGCCCACGACTCCATTTCACCAAGGGACTATAAACAGCAAAACACAGCAAAGCAAGCAACAATCCACGGCATAACTAACCCATTCTCCAAGTTTATTTCACAAATTCAATCCTAATACTCATCCACTACCCATCCAAACCGTAGAAACGAAGAAAATCATCACCACGATGGAAAATCCATCCATCGGGACAAGTACACTAGCGGTCGAGAAGAAGCTTGATCAATCGATCTGTCGTCCCGCTCAGCAATCAGAGCCGGTACCTATCAGCTCCAATGCTCCTCGTGTCGTGACTGTCATGGTGAATCGTTGGTGACATCCTCCTTCAATCAA